AGGGGATTTTAACCCCTCTTGCCCATTAAACCTCGTCCTCCTGCCTGGATTTCCTCCCATAAAAGCGAGGGCAGAGGAGCTTTGGTGCGTCCCCAAAAATGTCACCGCCCCTTGCGAGGCCAGCCCGGTTAGCAAGGTCTTGCTCTCTCCCCACCACCTCCAAGGTGGCTTTGGTGGGGGCAGGAGCACGGCGGCCACCTCCTGGGCACCTTTTTCTCACCGTGGATATGGGCAGAGGAAAAGGCAGCGCCCTCAGGAGCGAGCCCCCACCCCAAAATTTGGCCTCTCCGGGGTCCCCCGCAGCTCCGGTTCTCCCCATGGGTGCCTGCAAAGGTGGCAGAGCGCTGGGTTTGGGATGGAAATCCTCCAAAACCCATGATGGAAACCCTTCTGCAACCAAAACACCAAAATTTGGCTGCCAAAAGGGCTCGCCCAAGCCTCTCGCCCCCACGGGCAGGAAAGGTTTTGGCTCCTCGCCCTCCGCGGGTGCCATTGAGCCAGGGGAAGGAAATAATAAAGAAAAAAATACACCCAAACCTCATCAGATCCCACCAGCGAGGAGGAGACTCCGTAACCAGCAGCTCTGCACCATTTCTGGCACTTTCCTCCCCAAACTGAGCATTTGGTGCTTTTCAAGGGCTCAAAAACCACAGGGATGCTTCCCACCAAGGGGCTGGAGCTGTCGGAGGGCTCCAGGAGCATCGCAGAGCCCGGGGGCTGCGGGACTCGCACGCGTGCCGCGGGGCGAGCGCAAATATTTTGGCACGCTGGAGGGAAAAATCCAAAATCTTTTTTTTTTTTCTCTTAGGAAAAAGGAAGAAAAATCTAGTTTTTGCTGAGAATTTACAAATGGTGTTGTCTGCAAGCGGGAATGCCCTCGAGACAGCCCCCTGAGCCCTCGGGCACCTCGGGGAAGCCCGGCGAGCGGGGTGCCACCAACCGTGCGCCTATGGGCGAGCCAAAAGTGCCCAGAAACAGCCCCAATCCTCACAGCCTCCACGAGCCCCTCACCTCTGGCTGGATCTTCACCACTTGGAGGAGCATTTCTCCTCCAACCTCGTCCGTAACCCAAAAAAAAATGGGGCAGGGGGCACCCCCTCACCAGCCAGCCTCCGTCCCCAAACCGCTGGGCTCCGCGCTCCCATTCCCCAACCTCCAGCCGGGCTGAGAAGAGGCTGGGGAATCTCTCACCGTGCCCAAAAGGATCCTGGGGAGGTCCTGGCCGCCCCTTCCCGTGCCAAAAAACACTTTTTTGCCCCTTTTTGTCACAGCAGACCCGCTGGCGAGTGGTCCTCCTACGTCCTACAAGCGAGGAGGGCGAGCTCAGCACCTCACCGCAGAGCAGGCGTTAGGATCGATCATGACAGCTACCTGGAAGACACCAATTTTCCTGTAACGTGTTACGGAAGATTAAATAATTTAATGTTCTTCAACTAAAAACATCCCCCCCATCCCAAAAAAAAACAAACCCCGAGCGAATGGGAACAAGCCTGCCTTACCCACGCTGTGCTTTTCACGTCGTACCCTGAACACCAAACCACTCGTACTAGGCGAAAGGAAAACCTAGGCTCTTGTCAACCACAACAACAAGGGAAAGAAATGGAGAAAAAAACACGGAAAGAACCCAAACGAATGAGAAATGGGGGGGATCTGAGTGAAATATGCTGAGCTTGCAGACGACGGGACCAAAGAGAGACCTTTACTATTGCTCCGTGTCGGGATGTGTGTTACACGACTGATGGGGGTCGGGGAGGGGGGAAAAACAAAACAACAACAAAAAAAAAAAAGAGGCAGAAGATTAGAAAAAGCAGCTTTTACAAAAACCACTAAAGAATGCATAAAGTGACCCTTGCACTTTTTTTTTTTCCTTTTTTTTGTTTTTTTTTTTTTGTTTTCTTTTGTTCTCGCAAACAGACGAGGTGCTGCAGTCCGGCGGCCGCAGCCCCGATGTAAGACTTGTGGAGTTGCATACGATGTCTGACTCTGGATCTGGAAGAGAGCAGAGACATCACGGAAGGGGTTGGGGGCACCGGGGTGGCAAAGTGAGGTCGGGCTCCAACCTTGGCTCGCGCTGCAGGAGGTTTTTTTGGGGCGTGGAGGGAGCTGAGAAAGCGTCGGGGCACCAGCAGAGAGCTTTAAGCTCGTGGCCATCTAATTTCACCGGGCAATTTGTCGTGGGATGGGTTTCTCTGATGTTATGTGAGGAGCATGGAGAGATGTAGGGTGACCCATGGGATAAGAGGGACCTGCTCTGCGTCCCCATCACCGGTGCTCCGATTTTGGGGACCCCAAGGACCACGCCAACCCACACGCAGCCTGGCTGGTACCAAAGAGGCAGGAAAAGGGGACTTCTCCCGACACATTTCAGCAGGGAAAGCTCTGCTCCGTGATGTGAAAGCATCCCAAACCTTCCCAAACCCATGAAGGCAAGGAGGATTCCCTCTCCAGCCCCAGCTGCAGCTGGAGCATCCAGAAAAAGAGGGCTGGAAACACAGCCAAACCCTCCTGGGGCGCACGGGGTCAGTGCCAGAGCCCTCGTGCCCTGTTATAGGGCCAGCTCTGTATGGGGACAGAGCAGGGGAAGCTCTGGGGTGGCACTTACATGACTTGGCCGGTGGGTTTACCAGTGTGGAGGTACGTAGCTGTACGTGGGGGTTCCTTGAGCCCTGTACGTTGGCACGGAAACTGGATGTGCTCCGATTGCGGTGTGTTGTGGGGTGGTCAACAAGGTTCCTGCAAGGGGAAAAAGGGGGAATTCTTCACGTGATGGCCATTTCACAGCTTTTGGAGCCACCGCCACAGCCTGGCTGGGGCTGGGGGCACCCCTGGGTGCTGCTGCTCGCCCCCTGCCCCGGTTTTATTTAATAAAAATAAATGTTCCTGGTGTCTCGGGACGCACCACGAGCATCCTCTGCTAGCCACGGGGCAGAGAGCCTGGTGCCAGCCCCTTCTGTGTTGCTCTGCAGCTGATGTACATCAAGATTTTAGGGGAGAATTTGCACAGCAGACACAAGGAGGGCGAACACAGCCCCAAATTTCCCTGGTTTAGGCGTAACGGGCTACTTGAAACTTTAAGGCATCCTCCAGGCATGAACTTCTCTCCCACTTCTCGGCACAAGCACCAATAAATCTCTCTCGGAGTGGTTCCCTCAGCCGAGTCCTGTTTCACAGCTCCTGCAGATGCAGAGGGGTGAATAACGCCTTTCTTTGCACCACTCAATGCACAACGCTGAGAATTGTTGAGAGAAATAGAGGCTTTGGGGAAAAAAAATGAACACACCCCATATCCGTGCTTGATGCGCTCTCAATTAATCACGTTTGTGCCTGGATTTAAGTAACCCCACGCATGAGGCACTCAGGGCTCAGCAACGATGCACAAACCAAGGTTAATTTTGTCAGTTTGTGCAGAAAGACCTTGAAAGGATCTCAGCAAAGGAGCTTGAGGACAGAAATGCAGCAGTATTTGGAGACGAGCTCGGTTATTTCTCTATTTAGGGAACAGAGGGAAGAAAAATAGATTCCAGGATGCAAACGGGGGCCAAATGGAAGGAAAGTCTCCTGTGCTACCCCAAAAATGGGAGTGGTATCAAGATTTGGTGCAAATTAATTGTGTTTTGCCTGCGAAGGAGCAGCAAACCAGGAGGCAAAGCTGCTTTGTGCTTCCCTGGGGGTGTCGTAGGACGCGCTCGCCTCGCTGCGGTCCCCTGGGGGCAGGCACCGCCGCTGCCCACGGCCAGGAAAACCTCCCGCACGGGTCATTTTGGGGTTTGTCCCACCCGAGCCACGAGCTCTGACCTCGGGGAGCCTCTTACCTGCCGACATGGCCATGGTGGTCCCCGCGACCATGCCCATGGCCACGCCGTTGGTCCTGGGCGCAGCCACGGGGGCCGGGTAGATCGCCGACGGGATGCTGTTGGGCTGCACCACGGTGGTGTGATGGATGACGTGAGGCTGCGCCGCGTACACCGGCTGGGTGTAGTAAGCTCCCTGCTCAAGAAGGGGAAAAGCAGGGAGGTTTTTTTGGCACCCGGCACCAGGCGGGGTTTATAGAGGGGCAAACGCAGCCCTGCGCCCAGCGGGCGCCACCAGCACGCAGCTACGGTGGCACCGAACCCCAAAAAGGGGCAATTTGGACAAATTTTCCTGCTCTGGTCATGTTTTGTAAATCTCTGACTCTTTCAGAGCTCCCCAAGGATCATTTCAACCATTTTTTTTTTTTTCCTGCAGTGGGAATGGGGTGGGGATCAGCATCACGGGTAGGGGACGAGCCATGGCGCGTGGTTTGGGGGGATGAAACGGGGCCTGAGCCCCAAATCCTTTGGCTGTGGTGGACAAAACGAGCAAAGGTGGAAGAAACAAGGGGAAAGGACAGGTGGGAACAAAATAAAGGAGCCAACAGAGAAAGCCCCACATCCTAAATAATGAGCTGCCTGAACTGTGAGAGGTGCAAGGGCAAGAGATGCATGGGGCAGGCAGCACCAGCGTCCTCATGATTCCAACAGGGAAAAATCAGAGGGATCAGAACAAGGGAGGGAGCAAAACAGGGAAAAGGAGATGCTCCAGTCCCAGCCGGGCATGGAGAAATCAGTTTGTGGCTGCAGGAGGAGTTGAATTTGGCATTAAAAAGGAAGGGAAACGCGGCAGGGCCAGATTGCTCCGGGGAGCGCGTGATCCGCAGCATAAAGGGGATTTTCAGGAGGTTTCGGGGGATTTGGGGGGACCAACTGCGGGGTCCTGTAGAGGCAGCACAAAGAGCAGGATGATGGCCCTAGAAGTTCATCCCAAGTGCTTGGGGGAGGACACAAATCTGGGTCTTGCCCAAAGGAATTTGTGCTGTCACCAAGGTGACACACTTCTACGGGATGTGGCGGGCACCTCGAGTGCGACGCCACCAGCACGGGGACCCTGGGGTCACGCGGGCTGATTTAGGACACAGAGCCAGGCTTGAACCCCAGCAGCCAGGCGTGGGATTTTGGGGAACAGCCCCCACTCCCAGGGGTGTAATTATGGAACAGACCCCATCCCCAGCGATGTCACCCCGCTGATCCCACTGCTCATCCCAACCCAACCTCTCCATCCCTCCAGGACGTCGCTGCCGGCCACGGCCACGGCCCCGTAGGATCCTCGGCTGCCCGGGACCCGAGACGAGGAGCGAGGCACGTACCTGGGTGTACAGATTCTGCTGGGGATAGGCACTTCTGATGGGGTACATCGCCGTTTGGTACGGGTTCGGAGACGGAGAGTAGGGAGGGGGCGCGTTGTTGCTCTGGGTCGGTGGGACCTTGTAGGGAGTCCCCGCAGTGTACCCTGGAGCAGAGAGACACGAACAGCTTGGGTTAGGGGCAGAATTTTGAGCTGCTGAGACAGCCGATTCAATAAATAGGGCTAAATTAATAGGGCTAAATTAATAGGGATTCAATTAGTAGGGCTAAAACCATAACGATGATGCCCTTTTGCCTTAATTACGGGCTGGGTGGCTCGGGGCGAGCCGGGCTGTGTCACTCGGAGAGGTGTCCCCTTCTTCTCCCCATGCCCCAGAGATCATAGTGGGGCTCTCCGGACTGGGTTATCCTCCCAAGAGTCATTTGTGCACCTTCAAAGGTCACCTCATTTTAATAGGTGCTGTTCCACCACCTTTGTGTCCATCCCAAAAAAAGGATGAGGCGATTGCATCAATTGGGCTGGCACCCGATGGCCGGGGGTGTCCCTTTGGGGTATTTTAGCAAAATTTACATCATTTTGAGCTGCCCAGGCTTACAGAATTACACCTTCTTTCCAGGAACACCAGCTCATGCTGCTCTGAGGCACGCTGGAGATATTTGTCTGGTTTTTAAGGGACCTCCCTGAAATTAGGAGATTCCACGGCTGGGAGAAAAAAAGGCCCCGGAGATTGCACAGGATGGAGAGGAGAAGTCAAGGCTCAGCACAGCGATAAGACGTCAAAACACTCCAAGATAACGAACTAATTGACTCAACCAGAGTTCAGGGCAGCAATTAACGAAGGACGAGGTTTGGAGGCCGCAAATAGGCCGCGTTATCCACCCAGCGCTGAAAGGGCTTGAAGATAACGAGGAGCTTTCCAGGAGCTCCCAAACAGCCTCTCGCTGCCTCCTGATGACCGCAGATGGGGAGAAATGTGTTAATTAGGGAGCAGAGGGGCTGGGACCCCGTTGGTGACTCTGAACCCAACCGCTTGGTCCCGATTGCGGCCTACACCGCGCGGCCGATTCCCGATGTCTCTTGCCAAGACCCTGCCAGCCCCTAGGAAGCACTGAGAGCATCACCAGCCCCTGCCAGCCCCTGGAAAGCATCATCAGAGTGGGGAAATCATCTTCGGAAAGCCTTCTGTCACCACCTTCAGGGCATTGCTCCAAAGCCTTCCCCAAGCAAGAGCCTCTCTCCACATCCAACACGCAGAACTGGAGGCTCCTCGATCACAATCCTCCAAAAACACCGCCCTGGCACTTGCAGACCAACCTCAGCTCTTCTCTACGAGGGACTTTTTCCTGTTTTCATCTCATTTTTTCAAGCACAGACCTCGGAGGCTGTCAGTTCTTGACACCATGCTTCGTTGCCGGAGCTCAATGCTGCACCCTTACCACTCTGAGCACAGACACCGAACCTTGCTGCGGTTCCCCCATCACTGAAACATGAACAATTTAGCAGCTGTGTTAAAAAAAAAGGTATTAAAAATAATAATCTGGGCAGGTTCAGTCTTCCTTGTTTATAAATCAGGAAAAAATTGAACAATTTGTGCGTTTGCGGGTAAAAAAAACTTGTTTTATGTTTTATGTTGTTTTTTTGTTGTTTTTTTTTTAAGTTTTATGGCACATGCTGATTTACACCACCCTTGGAAAAAAAACACGTCTGACAGCTAATTGTCAAGCCTAATTACGACCATCTAACACCTTATTAGGATTAGAAAGTTCGCGTGGCCTGTGCCACCGCCGCCCCGTGGTTCAGCAGCGGGCTGGGATTTTAAAGGCAAGAGCGAGCGTTTAAGCTGCAGCTGCTATTAAAATTGCTGATTAAATCCCTCGTGCCACTCCAGGAATCTCACCCTTATTGATCCCGCATGGGAGAAGTGCGCTGAATTGAACGGGTAATTTTTTTCCTATATTACCACTACGGCTTGCAGGGGTGGAGCAAGAAAAAATAATAAATCAAAGAAGCTCTGTGATGGATTTTGTATCACCAGTTTCTCTCGTTTTGGCATGAAGAGCATCAAAATGGGCTCTTGGGAAATCCAAGAGGTATTTTGGTATTTGGTAAATGCTGGGTGTCCATGCAGCAGCGAGGTCTGGGGCTCAGGGCCAGTGTTCCCCATAAAACGGCCTCGATCCTTTTGGGGTTTGCTTAGGAGCAGAGATTCCCCTTGTACCACCCACATACGTTGGCCAGAGCTGAATTTTGCAGTGCTGTCATCCTGAAGGTCAAGAAAATAAAACCCAAACGCAATGGATGGATGTTTGCAACCGGTTGGAGGTGACACGATGGCTCCGTGCCCGCGAGGTCCCTCGTGGTTGCGTGGTCTCCAGCTTGCTCCCGGCGTCTGGCCCTGCCTCTTCCACCCTCCTCCATCCAGCCTGGCTCTTCCTCCAGCAACGAGAAGCTTTTTAGAAATACTGCTGAGCAGGAGAAGGTGGATACTCACACCTTAGCCATGATGGAGGCACGTGTCCAGCCCCTAAACAAGGCTTTCACTGCAGGTTCAGAGCCCGTTCCAGCTCTCGGGACCCCTTCTGCAGGTACTGAGCAGCTCCTGTTTATCAATCCGTGTTTATCCATCTTCAGAGAGTGGCTCCAGTGCATATTTGTGGGCACTGCTCACCCCAGGACCATCCAAGGCTTCCCCATGGCTCTCCTCCATCCAGCTCGGGCGCTTTGGTGATGCCCACGAGAAAGTTCTCAACATCCTCAAGAGCCTGGGGAAGGTGATTCGGAGAAAACCTGGGCGAGGGGGGATCAAACTGATTCAGGGTGCCCCATCTGAACTGCTCCTGATTTTACAGAGCCTGCCCTATTTATTGCAGCTCGTGGCTCTAAGCCCAAAGAACAGCCCCCGGCTGTGATAATGGCCAAAGTGTGCCGGGGCCAGGACGGTGCCAGGACCAACAGGGCATGAGGAGCTGATCCTATAGCCCTGAGCAACATCCCAGCACCCAGGGTAGGAGCCCCGTTTCTTCCCCTTTGTTATCAAAAAGAAGCCATAGCTCTTCCCCTAAACTCACTCTTGGATTTAATTTAGCAGCCAAAAGCAGCCTGGAGCAGCCCCCCAGCCCTGGATGCTTCAGCCCATGTGGGGTGGTTTGTAGCGTTCCCAACCTCACCGAGTCACTTAACAGACCTTATTTTTTCCTCCAAATAAGCCTGGGAGTTTCTCCAAGCCCCAAGGGTGTTTAGAGGCACCAATGGTTTCTTTTACATCTTTTCCTACCTGAAATTTGCCCCTGTGCGTGGTCCCGCCTCACACCTGCAGCGTTCCCCGTGCTATCCGTGTTTTTAGTGTGATGCCTCTGCTGCAGGAATTACTCGGCCCCATACAGATGAGATTACACCTCCCATGATCTGTAACCAACTCCCTCTCCTCCCACCTCCGTTCTGGTCATTTGATTTACAAGGTGGGAATTTCACCGGGCTTCCTGGAAAGCCACGTGTTATTCTGGAATTCTCTCTCGCTTTTAAAAGCTGTAAGAAATATTCTCCCCTTGGTTTTGCTACACGAGGAATGCTGCTAAAATAACAAGAGGGCTTGTCTGAATATATCCAGGCTGTGCCCAAATGCTCTGCAGGAGCATCACGGCTACAGGTAAGCACCTGCAAGCAACGTCGTGTGGACCAAAGAGCCGAAACAAAGACCTTGGCCCTTCTCCAAGTGCCTTTTCCTCCTCCTAAGGAGCATAAGGAGGGTCAGGGCTCTCCTTTTCACACTCCTTCCCATTTTTAAGAAGTGCAAACAGCAGAGAGAGGGGACACACAGAAATCCAGAGCTCTGTGACATCTTGCGTGGCAGCAGAGCGGTGCTCCCATCCTCAGGACCCCAGGGACCTGCAGCACCCATCCCTCCTCCAGGGCTCAGCCCTCGGGGTAGGACACATGAACACCCCCAGAATTATCCCCTCGGTTGCAAATGATGATGAGCCCGTTCCAAACAAACCCCCCCAGAGGCACAAGGAAAGGAGGGGAGGCAAACGGGCACGGAACAACCACGTAAAACCCCAAAGGAAAGGTTTATTTACTGAATGCTGCAGAAGAAGCCTGATAAGTTCTGTTCTCGGTCCCAGTGTCCACTGGGAGGTGGAAGGTGCCCTCCGTGGCACAGGACGAGGAGGTCTGTGGCCAGGCTTGCTTCATCAGAAGTGTAGCTTGAGCAGAAAAAGAAAAGAAATGTTAGAGCACCGAAGGCACAACAGCCCGCAGTTGTGTCACATTTAAGCCACTTGGCTGCCCTCCTCCCTTTTCCTCCTTGTTTCCCACGTGTGGCTGGTCTACACGGGGTACACGACCAGCGTGGGTGGCTTTGAGGACATTTCTGGGGACAGGGGGATTTTTGGAGCAGCATGCTAACACTGGTTTTGCACCGTAAGCCTATGTGAAATCGTGACTTCCAGCCAGCAGATGCTTAGAGAGACAGCCCGACCCTACAGGATTGAGGGGGCTCTGAAACAAGGCAACCTGCAACACGAGGCAGATCGTCCTGATTAATGAAGTAGTACTGATGGAGGCACGTAAGACAAGCCAGGAGAAATCTCAAGAGGCAAATGTTGCGGGATTGGAGAAGGCGGCACCAGCATTCGGTTATTTTGTGGGTCTTTGATTTTCTGAAAGAGGAAAATGTCTTGGACTTCACCACCATAATGCTAATTCTATGATCACGGAATCACGGAATCATTTAAGGCTGGAAAAGACCTTCAAGATCATCAAGTCCATCACCCTGACCTACCAAATCCCATCACCAAACCACGATCCCAAAGCCACATCTCTTGAATGCCCACAGGGACAGGGACTCCACCACTGCCCTGGACATCCCAGTCCAATGTTTGCCCCTCTTCATGAAGAAATTCCTCCTTATGGCCAACCCAAACCTTCCTTGGTTCAAGGTATGACGTGCTATGCCTTTATCCTATAGCCAAATATGTCGCCAGTGCCACTGCCCTTGTGCTTAGGGCTGTCTGGAGCACGTCTATGGAGAAGCCCGACCTTGCCTTCATCCTTCCCAGAGCTTTCCAGGTCTTCTCCTCATTTATTTCTGAAACAGAGGAGCTGTCACCATTTTTCTGTTCCCACTAGTCTCAAATTTGGGTGTCTTTTCTCCTTTCAGGTCATTTAATTCCCATTTCCTTATCAACGGGGGCGTGCGGCCTTCAGGTAGGCCCAGCCTTTGTTCGACCACCCGGGAGGGCCTCTCCTCACAGCTCAGCCCCTTCACAAGTCGATCCAGCTGTCGTTATAAAAGAAATAAGCTCTAGGTTTTCTGTTTTTGGTACGTATTTCACACACCCAGCTGCTGAGGAAAGCAGAAGGGGGGAGGGCCAATCGGTGCAGAAGCCGATGAGGGTGCAGAAGACAAAACGAGGCAGCTGCCGGAGTCAGCTGAAATCTCCAATTTATGTCTTCTTTAAAGGTATTTTGGTTGAAAATCAGAAGCTCGGCTGTTGACACGCTCGCTCGACACCAAATTATTGAATTCCCCAAGGCCTCCAGAGCTCAACGCTGGCTCTGCTCCCCTCGTGTGTGTGCTGAGTGGATTGGGGACCTGAGGGAGCCAAGGCAAGATGAAGCCCTGGGGTACTTTGCTGCTTGATTTTATGGACACTGAACGGCTGATTTGGGCTGGCTGCCCACTAACGAGTGCTCCCAGAGCTCCTCAGGCACTCAGCAAAGGGGTTCTGGGTCAAGAGCCTTGTGGAGGGGGGAAAAAATAAAAAAAAAAGGAACTTTGGGCAACAGAGATGTGATTTTGTGGTTTCATAGGCAGGGAACTGTGACAGCAGAAGCAGCCAAGTTCAGACAAATCTGTCTGGCGCAGAAAGAGGAGCTGTTTAGAAAGGACACCGTGGCCTGAAGAAGGATGGGGGATCCTTATCCTCCCCCGTCTGATGGAGCCATAGAAATGTGCTCCTCCCTCCTTACCTTCCTCCTGAGAAAAGCAGGAGGCTCTGGGAAGAGAGATTCAGGGTGTGATTTCTCCATCACCCCAGGACTGGCCACGCTCTGAGCCCACAGCCCCTTGCAAGGGCTTGCAGAAATAATTGCAGCTTTCCAACTGCTCTGCTCCATCTTCAGCATGCCGCCAGCTCTGAGATGAAACTTTCTTTCCCTTACGCTTTTATTCAAAACCAGATTCATTTTTGCTGCCCAGCTTCACAAAGGATTTAATCTCCGAAAGCGATGAGACGATTTACTCCGATGTTACACAGAGCCTTCCTCGGCGATTGCTCCTCTCCACATCAGACCCACATCACGGTCACGGCAATTTGGGCCCGATGCGGCTGGGAGCCTGTCCTTGACACTAAATCACCGATCCTTGGAGAATCCATCACTTAAAACTCCACAAAAAGTGAGCTACGGAGGCACCTCGGCACAATAATATCTCCTGGTCCTGCGCAGGAGCTACAACTCACGGGGTTATGATCCAACCATGACTATCCGACATCATTTGAGGTCTATCTCCTCCTGCCAGTATCTTCTGGATTTGCTTTAGATGCTATTCATCGCAAAATAACGAGCTTTTCTTCATTATCTGCTGGCAAACCTCTTGGTGGGAGGGGTGCAAGTGATGCCAGCTGAGCGTGGGGCTCTGTAGTGCTGGGGTCAGCCTCCTCCAGCAATGTTCAGGGCATGTTTTAAGTGGAAAAGAGAAAAAAATATTATGAACCAGTTGTGCCTGAAGAAAATTCTGTGTATTAACTGAGTGCAGAATCGCAAGGACAGGACCAAGCAGACGATGTGGTATATAGAGTATATAAACCTCTTGCTCCCCTCCCTTATTTGTGATGGATGTAGCCTTGAGCATTGCATAAAGCCTGCAAGAAGCTCAATTCCCCAGGTGGTCCCATCACCGTGTGCCTGAGTGCCTCGAAATGGTGGGAGCATTTGTTCTTGGAAAGCCCTACAAGGCTCTACGGGATGCTCTCACCGCCAGACCCCAGACACCTACCCTAGGGAACCTACTGATGGCCCCAAATAGTCGGCAGGGAGAGGACGGGCGTCTCCAGAGGGTGGTTAGAGCACTTCAGTGGGGAAAGAGGATGCCTATACTTTGCCCCTGCGGAGCAATATTTCCTTCTGGGTGGATCCTGAAGCAGGCACAGGGGAATGGAGAGCTCACAGCCTCCATCCTGTGCCCCAACGCGCCGACGGCGGCCGCACGGAGCCGCGATTTCCTGGGCTGACGTGAGAAATGTCTGCTCTGCTCCGTCAGGGCACCGCGGTAATGGACACGAAGCATTATTCCCTGCTGCATTATTAATAGGTACGGTGAAAGCAGGAGCCAGTCTCCACACGAAAAGTGCATGCCCTACTTTCAGGAAAATAAAAAGCGCACGTTAATGAAGGAAGCTAAAACAAAACAAGCAGCTCAGGAAGACAGAATGCCTAGGAGGGAACAGACACAGGGCTTAATGAAGACATACATTATCTTAAAAAAAAAACAACTGGCATGCCTTGTGTCTCTGCAGTAGAGTGATTTTAGGTGCTCATTTTTCCATACTAAAAAGGGATTTTTGCAGTAATACCATCCGAAATAGCCAGGCTTGCTACAAGCACCGGGGTTTGCAATGCTGGTGTTTCACTGTCATCTTGTGACCCTCCTCGCGTCTCTCCCTCTAATAAATATTGAAAAATGGGGAAGAAAAAATCATGCAGCGAGGAAGAAAGTAGAACCGTGTCGTTTCAATGAGCCACGATGGCAAGAAATTCATTCCCTTGCTTGACTGAGGCTCCTTTTGCTGAGCTTCGCAAGCAATGCAGTCACTGGCTGTATCTGTTCCTTGGAAAGGGTTGGTTCAAAACAAACTGGTGAAGAATTTATCATTCCTTTGGTGATAATTCACTCAAATGTTAGCAAATATCCACTAGAGACCTGACTCTGATGGAGGGAGGATTCAAGGCCAGTTCCAGTTTCCCATCTCCTCTCCTCTCCCTGCTGTTGTTGGACCCGGAGGGGCCAAGGGGTCTCGAGACCTCCCCAAGTCCCTCTCGAGGTCTCAGTTCATTTCCTCCCAAGGGAATTAAATGTCTGGGCTGCTAAATCGTTTGATTTCCCACGTGGATCCCAGCATCTCCGTGGACCTCTATCAGCGATAACCCAGCAAATCCAGAAGCCCCAAGCTGAGGATGCTCTCCCCACCCTTTCCAACCTCTATTCCAAGCAGCGTTAAGGGGCACGTTTGCATGGCTAACCTCCATAAAGAGTATCAGATACCCGAGCAGATGAAATTCGGTTTTGTGATTGCTCCTTTAATGATCCCGAGGGATTTCTGCCAGCTCGCACAGCCACCACCCAGCCCGGGAGGCCTGGAAGAGCTGCGCCTCGTTGGCGGCTGGGATGCGCTGGGGAGCAGCGGTTCTGCTGGGAACACCCAGCGTCGCTTTCTGCAGCCAGGCAGATAAAGGCTCAGCGCCTAAAAAATGCTTAAAAAGGTATTTGGAATTAGCCTGCTGTTTGCAAAAATCGCAGATTTTAAAAATAAAAACTGTTTTTTTCCGATTGCTTTCACTCAATTCCATTTAACGCAGCCGAGAACGCCGCCCACACCGTCACACGTACGCACCGATGGGATATTTTGTAGAGCTTATCTTGCTTTGTTTGCCTCTCTAAAATCATTAATTTTCTCCTTTAGGTTTGTTTTCTGTAGACTGCTGACCTGGGGGGGGGGGTGCTGGGAGGTGCTGAGCGGGGCCTGTGCCTGCTTTTGGGAGCTGCTGGCATGGGATGCGCCCCCCTCTACGTTTCAGAAGGGTCCGAGCCGTGATTGCAGCCTTTTCTCTGCCTCAAAAGATGATGTGGAAAGACAGAATCCTCCCTCGTGGGATTGGGGATGTCTTTTCCCCACTTGCTGGCCTGCTCTGAGCATCCCGAGCTGCCGGTCTGCGGAGAGCATCCTTCATCCCAGGTGCACACCAACAAGCTGAGGGCTCCGAACCGAGCCTCCTACGAGATCAATCCCAAAACCCCGTGATTCCCCCACTGCCACGCCACTAAAATATTTCAATTTTGAGGTTGTTTAGGGGGAGGAAGGACATTTCCGAGCCGGAGGAGCTGGGCTGAGCAGCGCCGGTTTTAATCCGCGCCATTTCCTCGCTAACGCGGCGCTCAGCCCTGCTCTGCCAGCGCGCTGCGAGGCGCTGGAAGGTTTTTGTTCTCGCTGGAAAATGGCCTGGCAGCTCGCTGGACTCCGGGATCTTTCTAATCTGGGAATTATTAAGAGCATTTTTAAGAATCATAAACAGAGAAGTGAAAATGGAAACGTCACGACGGCGGCGAACGCGCTCCTGACGGAGCATTAAGCCGCGGAACAAAAAAGAATCCGGCGAGGGGGTGACAAAAATGATCAGAGGATTTTGATTTTATTTTATTTTTTTTTCGAGAAAGAAAGTCGGCAAAGATTAGGAGAGCACTTCAGACGGGCGAGCCGGGAAGTGAACAAAAGGCTGAGTGGCACAAAGAAGATTGACCAGGGCTTTCGCTTCCCCTTTCACATCATGCAAATCTAAGGCAACAGACGATTATTTGCATCGCTTAAAAAAAAAAAAAAAAAGAAAAAATCGGTAACTCAAGCCTTAATTAATCTGCAGAACTGCCTGCTGCAAAGTATTGTAGTGATAAAATCCAGCCGGAATCAAAGCGAGGGGAGGTTAAGTATCTTTAATGAAAGGGAGAACACCCACAGCCCCGGCCGCCAGCACAAAGGTAGGAAAAATCAAAGTCTCCGTGGTTTTGTGCTTGTGAAAGCCGCGGACTAACGAGGTTCGGGGCAGATTATTCCACGGCGAACAATGGCAAGGGGACTTCTGAGGCTGATCTGCCTGGTTTTGGGGAGAAGAGACCAGCGTGGGTCTGGTGGGGCAGCGGAGGATGCTCGGGGAGGACAAACCAAGGACTACAAACCCAAACCTCCTCGGCTCCTGTCTCCATCACGCTCAGCAAGGTGGAAGCCAAACATCCAGGCAACAACCTGTGCCCCTCTGGGAAATGAAAAATTGCCTGCTCAGACCCAAAGCAGCCCCGACGTGTTGATCAAGAGGGCGGGAGGAAATATTTTATCTCCTAACACCCTTCAGGAAAATGCTTTGCTCCTGGAAAAGGCGCAGTGGTGTGTGCTCATCCCTTGAGCCAAAATCTGCCAAAATCTGTTGGTCCATGAAAATCCGGGCACGGATGGAGCCCCTCGCCCTGGGTCTGCTCTTGGTTTCCTTCTTTGGATCTTTGTGATGCTCGTTCTGCTGGGAAACATTAATTAAATGGACTTCTCCGGCTGTTCCTGCTATTTAGGGACAACCTACTAAAAACACATCCCATAAAACATCATCCCTGATGGCCCCTTCCCCATCTTCACTGTATCAGTTATCTGAAAGTGCTTCCCAAACCCCTTTGGGTTCCTTTTTCTCGTGAACACGAGGGATGCCCCAGGCAGGATTCATCTGAAGCTCTCCCTGTAGGACAGACAGACGCCCCTGGGAGTCTGTCCCCAAAGGGACGGGCTAAATGCCCCCCTGGGGAGGTTAGAGACCTGATGTTTATCCAGCTAAAGGCAGCTGCATCTTCCCTAACGTGGCGGTGGCTGCAGCTGTTCAAAACAGTTGAAAATTTCCTTTTTTTTTAAATTTGGGAAAATTAAACTGAGCTGAAATAGAAACTTTCCAGGGAAACATGCGGGTTTCAATGAGTTTTTGCAAAGAAAACTATTTTCCTTGGCGAGCCACGCGGCTTTTCTGGGGTTTGTGCCCACGGGTTTCCTGATGGGAGCTCCAGAAACCCCAAAAGGGTGCCGGGGATGTCCACGAAGCACCCGGGACCCCTTGGCCATCCCCTCGAGCTGCCGCCTGCACGAGGAGCCTGCAGAAACCCCTCTGCTGCTCCCCAGCCACTCGTTTTTCTATAATGGCCAGGGAAATATGTGCTTACATCACCTAGAGGCTATCCTAGAGGCACAAGAAAACCCCAGAAACACAACCGACCCCTCACAGCCTTCATTTCACGGCTTCATTTAATAACAGCAGCAAATTCAAACCCAGGCCGTCAGCAATGTGCGGAAGACAGCACCAGAAGTTTTTTGGTTTTTTTTGGCAAGAAACCCCTCATTCCTGCTTCATCAACCGAGCCTGGGAACCCACCGATCTGATGACAGCCGAGAGCCCGAAAACTTGGCGCTGGAGAAGAGGAAGGGGTTAGTGGGACCGCCACCAAGTCCTGCTGTGCGCTGGTTTCACGAGCATCCATTTCCCTCCGGCTACCGAGCACATTGCTGAAAGGGTGCAAAGTTAAAATCCCTCAGCTCTTTCGAGGCAACGTGCTCGGAACAAACAGCTGGGACAGCCAAGGAGTCACGGAGTCAGCCCCAAAGACAAGGCGTTAATTCTTCGTCTCCGATGTCTGCGTGGAGATGGGTGAGCAAGACTTTTTTTTTTTTTTTTTTTTTTTCCAGCCCGTTTTTCATAAAAACCATGAAAAAGGCCCAGTCCTGATTTCAGAAACGCTTTTCGGGTCACAGTTCAGGCACTGCAAAAGCTTGGATTTGACCTGTGTGACCGCATCCTTTGAAGAAAATGCTCTGATAGCACGCCACGGCTTTAAAAACCCACAGCTAATAAATAACGTTCTGATCTCAAGGCTGCTATTAAATAGGATATTTCCTTTTTTTTATGCTGCACTTCACTTCATTTGCTCCGGATTCGGGCACAAACCAGTTACATCTTGGAAGTGCCCCTTAGCACTTGGGTTTCTAGCATCCTGTGCCATGCAAAGAGGCTCCCAGCCCCGGATAATTTTGCTGAAAGCAGGGAATTGAACCATGCTCCAAAAACTCAGCAGCACGAAGGCAGTTGGCTTGGTCCTTCCACAGGTCTGGGACACTTAAAAATAGGCTTGACTTCAGCTCAATTATTTAACGAATTGGAGCCTAAGAGAAGTCTTCAACTCCAGAGAGAGATTTGTGTAAAGATTTCTACGTTTGGGTTCGAATGCAGATCTCGTCGTGGGCTTTGGTAAAAAAATAAAGGGGTTGATGGAGGAATTCCTACAAGAAATTTCTTCGTGGAGATGATGGGGAGCCCTTTTTCCATGAGAGGAGCAGCAGGGCACAGCCTGGGTGCAGGGATGGGACCAGAATTTGTACCCAAATGTAAGGTTTCCCTTACAAAAAAGAGAGATGGGGAGCAGCAGGGAGGGGAAAGGACACGAAGACATGGCATGGGAGACAAGGGCACCAAATGGGGCACGGTTGCTGACATTTCTACATCTATAACATGAAAGGGGGGAATGATAAGCAGATAAGGATAAAATTTGTAGGATACAATTCATTCAAAAGCACTTTGCAACCTGGAGAAGCATTCCCAAGGTACGGCATGAAGTTAAGGGCAGAGATAGCAAGGGAAGAGATTAACCCAGTCCCCTTCCCTGGAAAGAAGGACACAGAAGGTATTGGGGTTTGTACACCAAATCCTCCTGCAGGCCCTGTAGGGTCTCCATGCACAAAGTGGTTTTACCTGGGGCGTAGCCGGGGCTGCTGGTTGGGTACATGTTGGGGTTGTAGGCTGGGGCCGCGGTGGGATATCCCGTCGGGTAACCTGCAACGAGAGAAAGAGAGAAATTCATCACGTTTTTGACAAACTGACGTGGTCCCAGTTGGCCACGGCGTAGGAAGGACGATGAAGGTGCTCCACGTGACATCGTCAACATACAGCCTTTATTTCCCTAGAAAATGAGGGCGATAACCAGAAAGCAGGTCATGGGCATGGTCGACGTGCTCTGAAGAAAGCCACCATGAAAACACACGCACCGAATACAGCTCCAAAAACCAGAGGCACAGCTGGAGCTGAAAGGTTTTCCTTGGCTCCTTGCAGCCATAGTAGCTCGACGTGTCACTTATCGTAACTTTAACCTCAGCCTCGCAGGTTTAGCTAACCCTAAATAGCATGAAGCGAATTCCTGGTGTTAAAAATATTAAAAAGCAAACCTAAACTGAAAAATGATTCTGGAACTCCTCCACAGCCCGGTGCCAGATTGCAGAGCGCTCTCCACGGAGAGCAGAGAGCACTTTGCACCCGGACAGCAGAGCTCAGCACCCACCCGAGCGCTCGGGGCTTCCATTAGGCAGAGCTTTTTGCTAAAGGGGAGGTAAGGACGTTGCGGGGAAACATGCCAGCCCTTATATTCACCCCTCACTGCACAGCTGCCATCCTGGGGAGGGGAGCCGATTACCTGCCAAGCCACCTGGAAGGAACACGCATGGCAGCGCGTACCCTTTGAAGCCACCGTGAGGTTTTAATGGGCACTTTGGAGCAGGTTACCGAGCATCTTCAGTTCTCATCATCTTCAGCCGGATCGGTCACGGGGAGTTCAGGGGAAATCAGGCGGCTACGTGCAGGCTGGGGCAGCTGGAATCACCGGTGGGTAGGAAACCACCGCACACCGTGGGCACGCTGCGCTGGAGAAGTAGGCAGAATTGGCCAAATTGGCAAAGCCAAGGGAAAATAAGACTTTTACAGACCGAAAATGGTAACACTCAAGTAACTCCATCCCTTCCTACATGTGTAAATCCCTCAAACAGACCCAACGCGACATGGGTATCCTCTTCGCTTCTGCTTCTCTTCTCTTCGCGTGCGAGGAGAGGAGAGGCGCATGAGAGGAGAGGCGCGGCGCGGATGCGGGCGGAGGAGACGGCGCGGAGCGGAGAGGCGGGAGTAGTAGCGTAGAGGAGCGCGCGTAGGGCGGCGTCGGAGTCGCGGAGGTCTGTGCGGCGAGGCGGGAGAGCGGTGGGCGGGCGGGAGGCGCGGAGAGGGGGCGGCGGGGGGTACGGCGTAGGGCGGCGCGCGCGGAGCTGGCGGCGCTGGCGTCGTCGGTGCGAGTCAGGCTGCGGGGCGATGGCTGGGGGGGGAGGGCGGTCGGGCTTGCTTGTCGGTTTGAGTGCGGGCGGTAGTGCTGGATGGTGGTCGGGAGGGCGTGGAGGCGTGCGTGGGGGCGGGAGGGCGGCCTTTCTTGCTTTTCTTGTCTGGGTTCTTCTTTCTTTCTTTTTTTTCTTCTTTCTGTCGTGCGCTGGAGTTCTTGGAGGTTTTGCGTTCGGTCTGGAGGGATTTGGTGCGGGTCTGGTCTTAGCTTCGGGGGTCTTTCTTGTTCTTTCTCTTGCTTTTTTGTTCTTTCTTTTTTTCTTTCTTGCTTTCTTTTTCTTTCTCTTCCTTCCTTCCTTCCGTCCCTTCCTTCCTTCCTTCCTTCCTTCCCCTTCCTTCCTTCCTTCCTTTTCTCTTCTCTCTGCCTCTTTTTCCCTTCTCTTCCCTTCTATTCTATTCCCAAGGCAGCACCGGTTCGACAGCAAACATGAACCTCCAACATCCTTCCACTGGCTGCTGGTTGCCAGCAAAGACCGGGAGGAAGTAATTAGCACGCAATTCACACCCCATCTTTTTTGCTTTATTAAATACGAGCCAGAATGGATCTTTCCTCCCTCTTCCCCAACAGCAAGACGAACACGCTGCAATTTCTCCCCCTCCCCGTGCCCCCAGCACGCTGTTACGCGACCAGACGCAGGTTTCCAAAACCCGGCACGCAGCCGACTGCTGCAGCAAAATTTTGAAGTTCATTTAAATAAATCTAATTCAACAATCATGACCACTGTACTGGAATAAACGACTGTGTGTTCTACCCTCTCATTTTCATCAGTGATATATTTGGCTTCTAAATCAGGTTAATTAAAAATTGCTGTGGTTAATGCTGGATAAGCAGCAGCGCAACAGATTTTTCTTTTTTTTTTTTTTAGACTACATAAAACTACGTTGTCAACGTAGCCGGGAATATACAGCCTTTTAGCAATCAGGAAGCTCCTCGGAAAGTTATTTGCAGATCCAGTGATTGCAAGCAGAGCATTAATGATGAAGATATTAAATCAGAACTGCTGCTCACCCAGCCCCACGTCCCGGTGGCTGCTGGAGACCCCAACCACTGGGTTTTGCCTCCTCCCCACACATCTCCAAAGCCCCTCACTCGTAGTTTGTGGATGGTACATGGATGGTGAGCAATGGCTGCATAGGAAACCAATCCCTTTCCCCTTTTCTTGACAGTTTATCCCCAAAACAGGGCCCGACTGGCGCAGGAGGAACCCACGAACCAAGGCGTTCAACATCAGGTTTATACGTGCAAAACCAGCCTGAAATAAATCAGACCACGTTCCTTCGGGGGCCTGGGGAGGGGCCTGCACAGGAAAGCTGTGGCTTTGGGTAATCTTTTCCATACAACCAATTATTCAAAGACCGCGGGGTTATTTCGGGCAGGCGGAGACAACCGTGTATTTACACGGCTCCTTTCTCTCTTTGGGGTTTAACTTCTGCTCCGCAGGGCTGCCTCTTGCTGATTTTCGTTGTTTTGAAAGAAAGTCGTGGGCATTTTCAGCATAATTTCGTCTCAGATAAATGCCATTTCTACCGAGGGAGCTGCAGCAGGCTCAGCTCGGCTCTGCCGTCCACTCTGACCCCAAAACCTTTACCACGTGCTCACCTCCAGCACAACACCTCTCCTTTCCATCATGAGGGTAGGGAAATGAGCGTGATTTGCTCCTTTTTTTGGACACACTGAAATATATGAAAGCAGCAGCACAACCGTGGCAATTTGGGGAGAGAGGAAGCATGTTTGTGTGCCCCCGGCGCTCAGAAATCACTAGGTTTAAAAATACACGGGACGTTTTTATCCCGTATTTGCCTCCTGCTTTTCGAGCCGTCACCATTTATGTTTGTTGGCTCCTCTTCCTCCCCGAAGCGACCACGAGCCAACATCCTCAGGAAAGCCACAGCTGCAGCTCCCAGGACGAATCCCGGCCCCGGTGACCGAGGTTTGGGAGCGGTGGCGATGCCGAAGTGGCCGCATCCTGCTCTGATTGCCCCGTGGCCACCCTAAGCCCCTGTCCCTGCTGGTGACCCTGCCACATCTGCCTCATCTCATCACCTTCAATCTGCAAAATCAGCAGCGCAGAGGGGGAAACCGCTGGCTTGGTGTTGATCTTCAAGGGATTCCTGCTGGAGGCTGTGGCTGGAGATATGGGAAGGTCAGGGACAGAAAATATCCTTTATTTCGTACTGGTACAGATCGGCACGTGATGGGACCCCAGCTCTGCTGGGGCTTGGGGCCCCATCACAGCAGCGATAAGAAAATCAGATGAAACCACATTGACCGGGATTTATTAGATTCCTCCGAGAAGAAATCAAAAGTTGCTTCCCTGCTTTATTTTAATTTAATATCCTCTCCAAAATCGATCGGAGCAGGAAACCCAGCGCTCATTTCATGTTCTCCCCGAGGAGAACACGCAGCACCCCGGCGCTGCGCAGCACCGACTGAACCAGTGTCAAAATTATGATGCAATAACCTTTAATTTTTCATGTATCCTTAAATGTTTCTGTAAGATTATTTCCAGCTCTGCTCCATCCTCCTCGGTGCAACGCCGCTCTTGGTTCCTGGCTTTGAGGCTGCGAGCCCGAGCTATCCTCTCCCTTTTTAAGGTGCACACCTTCAGGAGACATGCTCAGAAAGGATTTTAGGGAATAAATGAATAAAGCGTGGCTCGCAGAACCTCCAAATGTTTTTAAGCAACAGCTTTGTTTAACCCAAGCCCCTTTGTGATTACACGGGGAAGAGCCCTAGCAAAGCAGTCCGCTTGTTTTTATTTCCAGCCCTGTGTTTCTGTGCTCGCAACCAGAGACACGAGCTCACCGCAGGCTACGAGACGTGTCTGGAGGGGGTTTTAGGACAGCTCTTTCCATCCTGGCAGCCTTTCTGGGATGGTTTATCCCCTCCTGGCAGCCATTCCCCTGCGGCCGATGCAGTTCCGCACGTCAGTAGCGCACGTCGGCACGGCCAAAGGGATGGCTTTAGGATGACACCACTGAAAGGAAGAGCTCCTCTGAGGAGCTAATTAAAAAAGGAACCACTAACATGATCTGAGCCTGGTACGCTGAGCGGGTCTGGCTGTCTCATCCCGAAGTCCTTTTTAACCGGACCTGGGTGGTTTTGAGCTCGCCCAGGGGGCCAGGATTTGGCATCTGCCAGCAGCACCCACGCGGTGCACCCACCTCAGTGCCATGCAGCAGATCAGAAGTGTTGGGAGCACCCAAATAACGTCCCAGCCATGCTAGTGCCAGGTCTCCATAGGACGCACTCACCTACTCTTGAATCTCTTGGAGAAGAAAGGCCACGTAGTTTGCTTCTCTTTGGCTAGGGAGCCTGGAGAGCCAGGTCCTTGTTTCAGCCTCCCACTGATGATCGGCTCAATTAATTGTCCCTTCCAACGCTGATTTCCAAAACGTGCCGTTTAATTCCTCGAGAAGAGGTCCTGTTGGCCGTTATCTGATTACGGCTTAAATTGCTACAAGCAGCCCAAATTAATTTACGAGACGAAATAATTCCCCTTCGCTCTTCTTCCCAGCAATGCTCGGGCACCGATACGCCCCTAATGGCAGCAGGATTTTTACGGGGACAGATAACAAAGCCCCTTATCTGGGCGCAGGACGAGGCGCCGTATAAAACCCATCGAACCACTGTCACCAAGGACCCCGGCGAGCTATCTCTAGAGCCAATTAATGATGTA